GCAGAGGGTATGACGGTATGATCAGGAAAGGATTGCGGAGGGTATGACGATATGATCAGGAAAGGAGTGCGGAGGGTATGACGGTATGATCAGGGAAGGAGTGCGGAGGGTATGACGGTATGATCGTGAAAGGAGTGCGGAGGGTACAGTGTTATGTGCTGGAAGAGTGACCAGTTGGGTAGCCCTGTATGAAGGAAAGCTACCTTACCAGACCAATCAATGTCCCTTCACAGCTCTGATTAGAATTTGTTCTAAGAGTGGCCAATCAGCAGCCAGGATGGATTGTGCAAAGCTAAAATTTTAGAAAGAAATACGAAAATCATGACAGGAATTGGATTCAATTGCACTTGGAAACCCACCCAGAATGAATCTAAGGCGGCCCAATTGTGGTAAGTACATGCCTCCTTTCCTGTTACTGAGAAGAGATATGCTACCTCCAAATCGGCTTTTACTTCTAGTCTATGTATTGTCTGGTGGGGTCATGCTGTTGTCACCCAACCGATTGGCTCTTTGCAGTGAAGCCTGAAACCACCAATAACTGATCCGCCGGTCTTTGTGATTTGGACGGATGTTCCACAGCTGCAACAACGGGGCCTTCCGATTGGACAGGATCACTAGCGAACCGGCTGCTTCTCCCCTACCATCGTACCGAGTACAGGACACATATTGGATTCCCGACACAGCTTAACCCTTTAAATACAACAGTCCAGTTTATCACTTTATTAAATTATATCGTCAGTCATATGCTACATATCAATACATATATACATAACCTTAGGAGGAGTACAAAATAAAAACATGCCATAAAACATAAAAAAAAAAAAATCACAGATGAGCCCACCAAGAACTGAACCCAACAATGACAATCCTTGCCCATATATTAGGCCTGGTTGCTTTGCCAAGCGGATACAGTTGTGGCCAAAATTATTCAACCCCCACTGAAATTGAGTGTTTTGGCCATTTGACATTGCTTTTGATCATTCAGTCCATCTTGCTTACATTTACATTAAAGAGGCACTTGTAGGTCAGACAAATATAACATAACAGTTATAATGAAATAACCACAAATGTCTTTTCTGTGCTCACAGCATTATCAGTTTTATTCAACCCCCAAGTGACATTCAATCTTAGTACTTAGTACAGCATCCTTTTACAGTTATAACAGCTTTTTAAACGTGAAGCATAGCTTGACACAAGTGTCTTGCAGCGATCTACGGGTATCTTCGCCCATTCTTCATGGGCAAAGGCCTCCAGTTCAGTCACATTCTTAGGCTTGCGCACTGCAACTGCTTTCTTTAAGTCCCACCAGAGGTTCTCAATCGGATTTAAGTCTGGTGACTGCGATGGCCACTCCAAAATGTTCCAGCCTTTCCTCTGCAACCATGCTCTAGTGACTTGGAGGTATGCTTGGGATCATTGTCCTGTTGAAAGGTCCAACGTCTCCCAAGCCTCAGGTGTGTGACGGACTGCATCACGTTTCCATCCAATATCTCCTGGTACTGAAGAGAATTCATGGTACCTTGCACACGCTGAAGCTTCCCTGTACCTGCAGAAGCAAAACAGCCCCAAAGCATGATTGACCCTCCACCATGCTTCACAGTAGGCAAGGTGTTCTTTTCAAATAGGCCTTGTTCTTCCTCCTCCAAACATAGCGTTGATCCATGGGCCCAAACAGTTCTAATTTTGTTTCATCAGTCCACAGAACACTATCCCACAACTTTTGTGGTTTGTCCACATGGCTTTTGGCATACTGCAGTCGACTCTTCTTATTCTTTGGAGACAGCAAGGGGGTACGCCTGGGAGTTCTGGCACGGAGGCCTTCATTACGCAGTGTGCGTCTTATTGTCTGGGCTGAAACTTCTGTACCCCATCTGACAAATCTTTTCTCAGTTCCTCAGCAGTCACACGGGGACTTCTCTCCACTCTACGCTTCAGGTAGCGCACAGCATCGAAGTCAGCATCTTCTTTCTGCCACGACCAGGTAGCGTTTCAACAGTGCCCTTTGCCTTGAATTTGCGAATGAAAGGTGTCTCTTGGTATGTTTAACATCTTTGCAATCTTCTTATAGCCATCCTGTGAAGAGAAATCACCTCTTCTCTTGTCTTCCTGGACCATTCTCTTGCCTTCACCATGTTTGTAACCACACCAGTAAATGTCTAGAAGGAGCTGAGTATCCAGTCATTTTAAAGCTGCCTAATTGGTGCTTATTATGCTTGATTGCTGCTCGGTGACATCCACAGGTGTTTTATACCTGATGGAAAGCAGTATGAACCTCTGTTCTTCAGAGTGGTAGTCTTTAAGGGGTTGAATAATTGTGGCAATGAAGAAACCACATAAGAACCATTTACTACTGTATTACATAAACAATGATGTCATTTTAGTTGCATTTGGGTAGTTACAACGTCCTTGTACAATGAATACAATTCCAAATGTACACTATAGTCCCTAAACCCCTTTACAGCATTGGGGGTTGAATAATTTTGGCCACAACTGTACATGATCTGGAATATCCAAGGGACTCACCCACAGAGGCTGGGATTACTATGATCACCGTTCACATGGAAGTGGTAGACTGGATCTTCCTGAAGTAAGCTGAAGGTGTTGAGTCTGACTCTGGGCTATGCTAAAGCTCAGCAGGACACAGAGTAGAAAACAATAGGTGTGTTTGGTGTCTAAACGCTGAGGCACCCTAATCTGGAGCCCCTTGTAGGAAAACAGGGTCACTAGCCTGGAGGCCCTTATAGGGAAAGGGTCCCTAGTCTGGAAGCTCTTGTAGGGAAAGGGTCTCTATCCTGGAGGCCCATACAGAGGAAGGGCCCCTAACCTGGAGGCCCTTATAGGGAAAGGGTCCCTAACCTGGAGGCCCTTATAGGGAATGGGGCTCTAGCCTGGAGGCCCTTATAAGGAAAGAGTCTCTAACCTGGAGACCCTTATAGGGAACATGGGTCTAGCATGGAGGCCCTTATACGGAAAGGGTCCCTAGCCTGGAAGCCCTTATACGGAAAGGGTCCCTAGCCTGGAGGCCCTTATAGGGAATGGGGCTCTAGCCTGGAGGCCCTTATAGGGAACGGGGCTCTAGCCTGGAGGCCCTTATAGGGAACGGGGCTCTAGCCTGGAGGCCCTTATAGGGAACGGTGCTAGCCTGGAGGCCTTATGGAAGGCCTCTGGCCTGGAGGCCCTTATAGGGAACGGCGCTCTGGCCTGGAGGCCTTTACAGGGAAAGGGTCCCTGGCCTGGAGGCCTTTACAGAGAAAGGGTCCCTGGCCTGGAGGCCCTTACAGAGAAAGGGGCTTTAGTCAGGAGGCCCTCATACGGAAAAGGTTCCTAGCCTGGAGGCCCTTATAGTGAACAGGGCTAGACTGAAGACCCCTATGGGTAAAGGGTCTCTAACCTGGAGGCCTTTATAGGGAAAGGGTCCCTAACCTAGAGGCCCTTATAGGGAAAGGGTCCCTAACTTGGAGGCCCTTATAGGGAAAGGGTCCCTAACCTGGAGGCCCTTATAGGGAAAGAGTCCTTAACCTGAAGGCCCTTAAAGGGAAAGGGTCCCCAGCCTAGATGCCCTTATATAAACCTCAGTAAGGAATGAATCACCCCCTCCAATTCAGCTTCAGCTATTGGGTTCTGTTAACAATGCGCAAAGATGAGTATGATCTATGTAACTAGACATGTTAAAAGAAGCCTCAAAAGGAAAACACAAAATATTAAATAGGCAGTTATTCTTGACTATAATAAATGTACAAAACCACTTTACATTCTCTTTAAGAGTTTGGGTACTTGTGGTTCCAAATAACACTTGGCACCAGGGAACCAAAGCCCAAGCTTATGGTCCACCTTTATCTTTTAAATAGACCCCTCCCCTCCTGTAAAAAAATAAACAAAAAGAAACACACATTTTCCAAGCAGTTCTCACCATGTCCATGCTCAAGTATTCTCCACAGTGGGCCAGTGCTGGTCCCCTTCTGGGGTTGAAAGATACCTAGTGTCACTTACCCCACTTCCTGTAGGCCTGGGGTGTCAAGGAAACATCCTCTGGGGTGTCAAGGAATCATCCTCTGGGGTGTCAAGGAATCATCCTCTGGGGTGTCAAAGAATCATCCACTGGGGTGTCAAGGAATCATCCTCTGGGGTGTCAAGGAATCATCCTCTGGGGTGTCAAGGAATCATCCTCTGGGGTGTCAAGGAATCATCCTCTGGGGTGTCAAGGAACCACCCTCTGGGGTGTCAAGGAACCACCCTCTGAAGTGTCAAGGAACTATCCTCTAGGGCGTCAAGGAACCACCCTCTGAAGTGTCAAGGAACTATCCTCTGGGGTGTCAAGGAACCACCCTCTGGGGCGTCAAGGAACCACCCTCTGGGGCGTCAAGGAACCACCCTCTGGGGCGTCAAGGGACCATCCTTTGGGGTGTCAAGGAACCACCACCCTCTGGGGTGTCATCAAGCTGCCTTGGACTTACACGAGAATGCTGAAGAGACTCTTTCACCACCGGAGGAGGAAGAACCTGTGATGTCACGCAACCAAAGACTGCAAAAAAAAAAAAGAAAAGGGAATTGTATACTGTTTTTAAAAAATAAATAAGGAAGCAAAGGGGTGCTCCAAAGGGGGTGGAGGCAGGAAATGGGGGAGAAGGGGAAAGCAGGAGTTGGGCTTTAAAAGGCGACGGGAAGTTGTGTGGTGGCCAACTGGAAGCCAATGACAGCAGCAGACTAAAATGCAAATTCCGGTTGCCAACTCAAGTATCATGGACAATGTTGACGTATGTAGACCTCTTCAGACATTCATGGTAGATGGAGCTCAAGTGGCGAAATGCTTTGGCTCCATTCTGAAATATGAACAGTGCATGGAACCTAATTCAGGACTGCGCTTTCCATCAAGCCAGTCTGTTCCCCCTGTGCGTTTTCTGATGCTGGGCACAATCCGAATTACTGACGAAGCATTTCCCGCACTCCTCGCAGGCGTACGGCTTCTCTCCGGTGTGGATTCGCATGTGCCGGACCAGGGCAGACTGGAAGGTGAAGCGTTTGCCGCATTCGCTACAAGCGTAGGGTCTCTCCCCCGTATGGATGCGCTGGTGCCGGACGAGGTCCGAGTTGCTGGTAAACCATTTTTCACACTCGTTGCAGGGGAAAGGTTTCTCACCGGTGTGCACGCGGTGGTGGGACAGGAGGTGGGACTTGCAGGTGAAGCGTTTGCCACATATTGCGCAGCAGAAGGGCTTTTCCCCAGTGTGGGTCTTCTCATGCCTTGTCAATCCCGACTTGACCCTAAAACATTTCCCGCACACCGAGCAGGCAAAGGCCTTTTCCCCGGTGTGGATCTTCTGGTGCTTCATGAGGTCCGACTTATGGATGAACGATCGCTCGCACTCTGAACACGAATAGGGCTTCTCTCCTGAGTGAATCCTCTCATGAACCAGAAGGTTGGTGGTCGTGGTGAAGCATTTCCCGCATACAGAACAAGCGTACGGCTTCTCGCCGGTATGAGTCCGCTGGTGGATGATCAGTACCGACTTGTCGGTGAAGCTTTTCCCGCAGTCGGAGCAGAGGAATGCCCGGTGGCCACTGTGCTTCCTCTGGTGTTTCACCATTTGGGACTTGCTGACAAAGCATTTCCCGCACTCCGGGCACGGATATGGCTTCTCATGTGTGTGGCTCCTCTTGTGCTCTACCACGTGCGATTTGGCAATGAAGCATTTGCCGCACTCGTTACAGCTGTACGGCTTCTGTCCCGTGTGGCTCATGACGTGGACCGTGAGGTTGGACTTCCAGGCGAAACATTTGCCGCAGTACGTGCAGGAAAACGGCTTCTCCCCAGAGTGGACCTTCTGGTGGCGGCGGAGTAACCCTTTCTCTCCAAAGTTCTTCCCGCATAGGGGGCAGGAGAACGGTTTTTCTCCGGCAGGCGGTTTGCCGGACTCGGAAAGCGGCTTGTTTTTAGAGTGCATTTCCTGGTGTTTAAGAAAGCTGTCATCATCCGGAAAGTACATATGACACTGGGAGCAGGTGGTGCTGCATGGAAGGCTTTCATCTTTAATAACGAAAGACGTATACTCAATGTGGTCCGTTTCTTCTTCCTTAACTTGGTCACACTGCATGTGGTCTCCAGGTGGAGAAGGGTCACGACTCGCTTGATGCTCATCGCATGAGCTGGGTTCCTCCTTAATACACCTAAATGAATATGGTGGAGGATGTTCGGGTGTAGAGTTCTCTGTCTGTTGGGGGTGTTGTTCTCTACATGAGGTGCTCTCCTCTTTGACATGGGTAGGTGAGTCGGATGTGTCGGAAGTGTGGCTAGTTGGCTTGGAGAGCTTAGGATGTTCTTCTAGTCCTTCCCATGTAGTCAAAGTTTTTTCATCTGAAGTGTGGCTCATGCTTTGCTCCTCCGGTGAGGAGGATCTGGAAGATGAGGGACTAATGGCTCCAGGATCTTCAACGACATGGTTTTGCGATGGAGAAATGTCGAGCTTAGATCCTCCAGGATCTAAATCTGTTGGAAACAGAGACATGGTGGTAAGAAGATGGACACGGGGGGGAACTTAGAGCTTTATAAGAAGGGAGAAGGGCCATACAAAGGATGATTTAGGTGGAAAGTCCTTGTTATAGGCTGGAGGGGGCAGGGGTAATCTATGGGACAGGAAGCTTCAGCAGTAGTACCATGAAACACCAAAACTGGAATTTTGGAAAGGCAGAAGGATAAAACCTCCACTGGCTACTTCTGCCTCAGAAAGACATTTCGGGATTTTGGAAGTTAGCAGTAAGTTCACCTCTTACCTGAAGATGGGAGGGGCTTCTGATTATCCATTGTGATGTCCTTCTCCATATCCATATCAATGGTCAGCAGCTCAATGATCTCCTTTGTGATTTCTAGAATCTTCTTGTCCTTGTAGCTCTCATTTGTTAGGGAGGAAGGCGAAGCCTTCTCTGTCCATCCACTGGTGACCACCATCTGCTCCTTAACAGGTCTGTAATGCTGCAACATAATGGGGGCAACACAACCAGTGTCACAGAGACAAGGACCTCTACGCATATGGTTTTAAATAAGACATTGTGTTATGTGACCTCCCACAATCCTCCTCATCCTCCTCATGTGACCTCCCACAATCCTCCTCTCCGGTCAGGTCTGTGTTTTATTAATAGATTATGTCATGTGACCTCCCAGATAGGCGTCATGTCATGTGACGTCATGTGACCAGAATCCTCCTCACTCTCTGAAGTCAGGTCTGTGTTTTATTAATAGAGATAAGAGTGATATAATGTGACCTCCCAGAATCCTCCTCACCTCTACGGTCAGGTCTGTTTTATTAAGAGATAAGAGTGATATCATGTGACCTCCCAGAATCCCCCTCACCTCTCTGGTCAAGTCTGTGTTTCATTAATAGAGATAAGAGTGATGTCAGGTGGCCTCCCAGAATCCTCCTCACCTCTCTGGTCAGGTCTGTTTTATTAATAGAGATAAGAGTGATGTCATGTGACCTCCCAGAATTCTCCTCACCTCTCCGGTCATGTCTGTGTTTTATTAATAGAGATAAGTGATGTCATGTGACCTCCCAGAATCCTCCTCACCTCTACGGTCAGGTCTGTGTTTTATTAAGAGATAAGAGTGATATCATGTGACCTCCCAGAATCCCCTCACCTCTACGGTCAAGTCTGTGTTTCATTAATAGAGATAAGAGTGATGTCAGGTGCCTCCCAGAATCCCCTCACCTCTCTGGTCAGGTCTGTTTTATTAATAGAGATAAGAGTGATGTCAGGTGTGAATCCTCCTCACCTCTCTGGTCCATAGAGATAAAGTGATGTCATGTGACCTCCCAGAATTCTCCTCTCCGGTCATGTCTGTGTTTTATTAATAGAGATAAGTGATGTCATGTGACCTCCCAGAATCCTCCTCACCTCTCCAGTCAGGTCTGTGTTTTATTAATAGAGATGAGAGTGATGTCATGTGACCTCCCAGAATCCTCCTCACCTCTCCGGTCAGCAGGTAGATGATTTCCAGGGTCAGGCTCAGTATCCTCTCAGTCACATGACCTCTCCCCTCGCTCATGCTCGGTGACATTGTCTATGGAGAAGCCTCTTTGGTAGACGCAGCCGCCTCTTCTGCTGAAAAATCTGTGAACAGACACAATGAACCAATTACAGCCCTAACCGACACTCACTGCCAACGCCTCTATAACTAAGCGGTTCACTTCCTGTGCAGAAGAAGGAATAAAGAGTGTTGGGGCCCCTGAAGAACAGACAGCATCATTACAATCAAATTACAGAATGCCGACTTGTATCCCTCTAGCACAGGGGTGTCAAACTGGCGGACCCCCAGCTGTTGCAAAACTACAAGTCCCATCATGCCTCTGCCTTTGGGAGTCATGCTTGTAACTGTCAATCTTGCAGTGCCTCATGGGACTTGTAGTTTGGCAACAGCTGGAGGGGCCGCCAGTTTGACACCCGTGCAGTCTAGCAGTAATAACTACATCACCATCTTGTGGTCAGTATATAGCACTGCTGCCACAATACATAGGCAAATGACTTGTACAGTAACAAGGACCACTGCGCCATCTGCTGGTGATAACACTGAAAGACACATTCCATAGTCAGGTGACCTGTATCCTGCAGTAATGAGCATCAGCAGCGCCTAGTGGTCGGAAATCAACCCTCCAACCGCATTGCACAGTGAGGTAACTCCAAGGCTAGGTTCGCACCTATACAGGTTGCGTTTGACCCATTTCTGCACCTGTGTTTTTGCTGCGTTTTTTCTTTCTTGTTGCTAGGCAGGTTTAAAACTCAAAACGTATAAAAAACCGCAATACATGCTTTTCTGCAGCAGTTCCGTCTATAGAACCAAAAACGCAATTTTTTGCATTCAAAAAAAGTCCCTGATCCTTTGCAGGTCTGGGTGAAAACACGGAGATGTGAACCTGTCCCATAGGGTAAGGCCCAATTTCATAGTTCAGAAATGCTTTTTTTTGTGGGGGGGGGGGGGGGGGGCGTTTTTCATGCGATAGCAAAGGGCAGCCCATTCATTTGAATGCTATGGTAGGCTATGAGGATGGCTTTGTGAGCCGAAATGCGTTAGTATTTTGGATATTGTACCTGCATTTATGTAACCAATAAAATATTCGTAAAGAAACCACCGAGTTGTCGGCTATTATCGATGGATGGTCATTTGAGTGGGCTTCAGGCGCAGAGCTTGGAGCATTTTTTAGCGCACGTTTTAGTGCGTTTGCTGGCTGCGTTCGGAACACCATTAACAATCAATGTCATTACAAACGCAATGCGCATTTCTGGAGCACGTCGATGATAATGCAGCCTGAAAGGGCAGCGCAGTGGCTAAATGGTTAGCACTTCCGCTGGCAGTACCGGGGTCATTGGTTCGATTCCCAACCATGGCACCACCTGCCTGGAGTTTGCATGTTTTCCCCATGCCTGCGTGGGTTTCCACCGGGGTACTCCGGTTTCCTTCCACACTCCAAAGACATGATGGTAGGTTAACTGGATCCTGTCTAAATTGGCCCTAGTATGTGTATGTATGAATGTGAGTTAGGGACCTTAGATTGTACATCCCTTGAGGGTTAGGGACCTTAGATTGTACGCAACTTGAGGATTAGGGACCTTAGATTGTGCGCCCCTTGAGGGTTAGGGACCTTAGATTGTGCGCCCCTTGAGGGTTAGGGACCTTAGATTGTACGCCCCTTGAGGGTTAGGGACCTTAGATTGTACGCCCCTTGAGGGTTAGGGACCTTAGATTGTACACCCCTTGAGGGTTAGGGACTGATGTGAATGTACAATATATATGTAAAGCGCTGCATAAATGGATGGCGCTATATAAGTACTTGAAATAAATAAATAAAATAGGTCTTTGTCTGCACCCTTTTTTTTTTTCATGGGTGGTCTGCTGTGCCCATTTTCAATACTCATCCAGAGGATCCAGGGTTGTCCCGCTGCGGTACTCTTGTTCTCTGCCACCTCTTGGTCCCGTGGCACCATACTGATTGTGACATCATCAAGAGGCCCGCCAGCTCTTCCTGATGATGCATCGCTAGGCACGCCCCCCTCCTCCCTTTCTGAATGAAGCTCTATGCCTCCTGGGATATGTGACATGCATGAAGGCACAAAATGGTGAACGACGTGCAAGGGGAGGGCGGGATGCAATTTTTTTATTTTACAATAAAAAGTAAAAAAAAAAAAAAAAAAGAAGACAACCTATTCTGTTAGCGGAGGGGAGAAGGGAAGTCTTTCCTGAGGGTGAAGATCATCTTTAATCTGGCCATAGATGGATAGAAATTCGATCCATCTATGGCCAGTCCTGTTGGAGAGTAGATCGACTGCTAATGAAGGGGCTTGCTGGAAAACTTTAGTTGGTCCACCTGACTTCACTGCCAGAATACAAAGACACAGCATGGAAGATTCCCCCCATCCACTTGGAACATGTGGTCGGGGGATCGGTTAAGTTTTTTTTTCTGAAGGAAAAAAAAAATGGGCCACGTATGGCCAGCTTTATAGTGTAGTTAACCACAGTGATGATCATGTGACCACTGCGATTGGCTGTCACAGTGATCACGTGATCGGAAGGCAGACCCAATGGCTTCCAATCGTTGGTGTTAATGGAGAGCGGTCTTTGATAGATCGGTCTCTGTGCTGGGAGCATGCTCTTAGCACAGAAACCTCAGCCGCCCATACACGCATTTGTTTTTATTAATTATATCGTCATACCTGTAGGCCATCTGGGCCCCTCTGGAAACCTGGCCTCCCAGTTGGCAATCGCTCTATCCTGCCTTGTTGCTAGGAAGCCAAAACCACTGGATGCCACAGAAATCATTGGATGCTGTGGAAACCATTGGATGCTGCGGAAACCACTGGCTGCCACAAAAACCACTGGATGCTGTTGAAACCACTGAATGCCATGGAAACCATTGGACGCCGTGGAGACCACTGGATGCCACGGAGACCCACTGACCACCACAGAAACCACTGAATGCCGCGGAAACCACTAGACTCCGTGGAAATTACTGGATGCCAAAGAAACCATTGGATACCATTGAACGCTGTGGAAACCACTGGATGCCACAGAAACCATTGGTTGCTGTGGAAACCACTGCATGCCACAGAAAATACTGGATGCCACATAAACCATTGGACACTGTGCAAACCAATGGATGCCACAGAAATCATTGGATGCTGTGGAAACCACTGGATGCCACTGAAACCATTAGACACTTTAGAAACCACTGGGTGCTGCAGAAACCACTGGACGCCATAAAAAACACTGGATGCCATGGAAACCATTTGACGCCATGGAAACCACTGGATGTCACGGAGACCATTGAACACCATGTAAACCACTGGATGCCACAGAAACCATTGAAAGCCACAGAAACCACTGGATGCCACAGAAACCACTGGATGCCACAGAAATTACTAGATGCCAAAGAAACCATTGGATGCTGTGGAAATCACTGGATGCCACAGAAACCACTGGATGCCAAAGAAACCGTTGGATGCTGTGGAAACCACTGGATGCCACAGAAACCATTGGATGCTCTGGAAACCTCTGGATGCCACAGAAACCATTGGATGCTCTGGAAACCTCTGGATGTCACGGAAACCATTGGGCACTGTGGAAACCACTGGATGCTGCAGAAACCACTGGCTGCAATGGTAACCATTGGACACCATGGAACGCCATGGAAACCACTGGATGCCACAGAAACCACTGGATGTCATGGAAATTATTGGACGTGGTGGAAACTACTGGATGCCACAGAGACCATTGGGCACAGTGGAAACCACTGGATGCCACAGAGACCATTGGACGTGGAGGAAACCACTGGATGTAATGGAAACTATTGGACACGGTGGAAACTACTGGATGCCACAGAGACCATTGGACGCGGTGGAAACCACTGGATGCCACGGAAACTATTGGACACGGAGGAAACCATTGGATGTCACGGAGACCATTGGATGCGGATGAAACCACTGGATGTAACGGAAACTATTGGATGCGATGGACACCACTGGATGTCACGGAGACCATTGGACGCGGAGGAAACCACTGGATGCCACAGAAACCATTGGACACCCTGGAAACCATTGGATGTCGTGGAAACCATTGGATGCCACAGAAACCATTGGACACCCTGGAAACCATTGGACGCCGTGGAAACCATTGGATGCCACAGAAACCATTGGACACCCTGGAAACCATTGGATGCCACAGAAACCATTGGACACCCTAGAAACCATTAGATGCCGTGGAAACCATTGGGACACTCCCTCCCAGCATTAGGAATATAAAAACGAAGGATTTTTATGTCCTAGCAACAAGGCAGAACATGGGGGTTGCCATCTGGGCATTTTTCGGAGAGGGTTGCAAGGTGCCCAGAAGTGCTACAGGTATGACAATAAAATTAAAAAGCGTGTTACAAACCTGCTCAGTTGTATTGCTATGTAGTGGGGCCCCTGGACTGCAAAGATGAACTTACCCTTTAAATAAAACCACATACAACTCTGGTGGTCATATGAGGGCACTACAACCTGACCCCAGGTAGGTGTGATCACATGACCCCCCAAATGACAGTCTTCCCTCTTCCCCTATCAGTACAGGACGTGCATACCGTCATTTACCGCCGGTCAGAGCAAGCGTCGGCTTCCCATCTTCTTTCTTCTCATAGAGAGCCGGGGAGAGGAAGTTCCGAGGCACTTACGGCCTGTGCGTTCCACGAGGCTTCCTTGTTTTGCGTTCCAATTGCCGGATAGAGCTGCGTATTGCCTTCCCCGCGTTACTCGTTCTTAGTTCCGCCCTCCAACTCGCCCCATATCCCATGCCATTGAACAAAAAAAAAGCCATTCAGAAGCTTTGTACATTGCTGGAAGTGTCGTGACAGTTAGGCACAGAGTGTTGTCTCATTATCCTTCTCGTCATTCCTGTTTCTTCACCTCAGGATGACTTTAACGGGGTTTACACAACCACCTGTTCCTCTTCCTCGGGGGTGGGACTTGGCACTGGGCTCCTTGTGTGGGATACGAAGAGATCTATATGACTGTTTTTCCGTGTTAAACCTT